GCGGTGGCATTCGAGGAAAATGAGATCAGCCGCGAAAGAATTCCGGCTAATCGAATCGAATTAATCCCGGAATTCGAATGCACGAGATCCAATTTTAGCGTTCAACGTTTTCCAGTCGCAGCGGGTTCTTCGCAACTATGAAGGACCGTTGTGCAAGCAACGTAACGAAACCGTGTGTAGCCTTGTCTGTTCGATTAATGCGCCGGATCCTAACGTTTCTTGGACGATGCACGAATTAGAATGCCGTCGTTCAACAATTATAGAAACCGTCTTCTAAACGACCAAGATCCAAGAGAAATGGACCTCCGACCAGCCGAGCCTGTCCCTCTCTGTAGATACGTGCTTTATTTTCGTAAACGAAAGATGATACTTGGCGGCGCGAAATCGTCTATTTTGCGTAGGATTCGTAATCGACGATCGTAACGCTCGAATTGGCGGTCGTCTGGTCGAAGATCGTGGATTTACCCCGTGATTCGTGGGCTCGTAAGCGCCAAACTATAAATTCTAACGGTAACGAGACGCTAGTTTCGGTGTTTCCATTTCGTCTTTCAGACCGCCAACATTTGTACTTTGCCGATCATTCGGATGATACGTCGCGAATTCCGTGTTAAAGTATCGCGTAAAACACTAAGGGCCTTTTCGTTTGTCGAAACGAGAGCGAAATCGGAGCATAAAAATTCGAGGATTTACGAGGGTTAAATATACCCTTTACATGCGGTAAGTGCAATCATCAAAGAATAATTTGCGGTAGTTCTAAATACGACAGGATATTTATATTCCTTTAAAATGGATTCGACGACTCGATATAACGTTTACGCGTTAAACGCAATCACGAAAGAATAATTTACCGTTGTTTTAAACGTGCAAAGTAGTTTACGTTCCTCTAAAATGAGAAACCAGCAGAGGTTCGTCAATTGTTCGATGATCGATAAAGGACGATTATGTAAGTAACGATCTTGCTATCTTCGAGATAGTTGCGCGTTAACGATTACGATATTCTTTATGCGAGAGATTTCCTTATTTGTTAAAGTATAACCGCGGGAAACGAGAAACGATACGCAACTATTGTAGCTCGCTCGTAGAATTTAAATCAAGAAATACGGAGAATGGAATTTTTACAGATTATTTTTACTCTTACGAACAAACTGTGCAACGCTTGGCTCCACGTCCCAGAATCAAATATTTAAAAGCTTCTTCCACTCCGCCACGAATTCTTCGAAACTTTAAGAAAAATTCCATCGCTGCGGATAATACGATAATTTCGAAGAACTCTCGATCGCAACTAAACCCAGCGCAATCGTAATACGAAATAAACAAATTCCACGATATTGCGCGTTCACAGCCGACAAGTTTATATCTCACGAACCTCGACGACCACAGGAATCAGCAAAGTTCTGACTAGCAGAATGCAAATTGGAAAATACGTACGTCATTAAGAATGAACGATCATGGTCGCGAATCAACACGACCGATAATGCGATAATCGCTGACTTTTCCGAAAGGCGTTAGATACGATCGTACAGGCGCGTCAATGGCCAACTGACAATCAGATAGTAGCGTAAGATAGTTCACTGTTATTTTCATAAAAATATCTATAGCGTTGTAAGTATACTGTAATAAATAACGTTCTACATTTGTTATTAGGAAAATCCATTGTACTTGTATTGAATCGTAAAAACTTATCATTATGAAACATTACGAAAGGCTAAAGCTATAATTGAATTATGAAACTAAAGGAGCGATATTCGCAAGGATTGATACACGCCATCGTTCATAAACATCAAGATATTTATAGAACGTTCAAACATTATGTATGTGAAATTAAGACACAAGTTCTAACTCCACCCTACATAAATAAAGTTTGCATGTTCAATGTTAGACTAAAGTCTCATTTTTACATCCACCACGTTCCTCAATTATTGCTTTCAATTTTCACATTCTTATTATTAATTCATCTATCGTATTCGCTTTTATTTAGTACAAATTACGAATGAACTTCTCGCGGTTTTTCGTTTGACTTGTTCAACAGATTTTTAATAAGAGTAAAATCGCGAAGGCCGACGTATGATCGTTAATTCGTCGTGTGCATTTTATTATACCTACTAATCTCTGCCCATGCGGAATAGTACTGACTCGTGTAAATAATTTGGAAAAATTTCCGGAGCGTTTGCTTGTACAAAACACGGCGTTCTAATTGATTAATCGCTTCCCTAAATCAACTGGAGCCATTTATCGCGTTTTATATAAAACCAGATGCTCTAATATTTATAGACGGAAGTGAACGTGACTGAATTCAAATTTTCTACATCTTGACTTGCGCTACTAGGATTTTCAGGCCACGATTTGCTGCAAGAGCTCGCATTCGTCACGGCGACGACAGATTGTCCGATGAACTTTCAAAGCTACCGAAGATGCGTGTACAATGGAAATCGTTATCTGCGTTTTATCGAGTTCTCGTACGATCGAGATCGTTTTTAGATCGCGTAAATCGCCGTGATTATATTTATCAGCGTAGCTCGCTCGAGGAGCGCGAGAAGAATATCTGGTACTCGATGTTTAGCCAACTAAACGAGCGTTCTGTGAAAATAAACGACGAATGCCACGTGCGATTGCTCGGCACGATTAATTTGGCACGGCGATAACGAAAAGAGAAAAGGCTGTTTCATCCTCGTAACGGTTCCTCTTTGCGTGTCTCGCGAGCGTGATCCAAGCGTATTTCGCCGGCCGTGAACTCATTCATGATCGTAGAATCGGCTCGATGACGCGTTAACTGGTTTCGATATCGAATTGGAAAGTGTTCGTGACGGAGACAACAGGTGTACGTGTCACGTTGTTGCGAACCTCTTAACCTTTTCACGACCATTCAGAGAAAATCCTGGCTATGGATTAAGGACACTTGTATGCATTCGATGTTCGTGACAGTGTTGTGTCATTGAATATAACGTTTAGCTAGATACATTATCGAAGTAATATATGACAGATAGAACGCGTATCGAAAGTGAAAAAGCGCTGAGAATGGTCTTTGTAGCAGAAAGTATTTCAAACTGAAAGCATTAAAATGTTCTCTTCGATATATCATTTACACGCGATTTGCTGGAGAATTTGCTGTGAAAATTGAATGCACGCGTAATTATATAAATCGAAACATAATTTTAAAAACGTAGGATAACTCGGTTGTTCGGAGAAAAAATGTTTAACTGAAATTACGTAATCAATACTTATTGTCCCCGAACGATTCACGTTACTTCCACGTTCTTTCTCTAATTGAAGCGCAGGAACGCTGTCCAAGGTAATAAAAAGAAAGCACTAAACAATCCATGTAATCGATTTTCCAACAGTAGCATCAGTCTATTGGCTTTTCCACGTCGTTCCAAATTCAACGAATTCGCGAGATTTCAAATAGAAAAATGAAGGGACACGTGGGGAGAATACAGACCATCGCACTAATGAAAAATTAATAAAAGATCACAGACATTCGACCGATTCAGTGATTGAAATGGACGACGAATTAAATATTAGCGAAGTGGGTCGTGCTTTCTTTCGATAAATATTGTAATTTTCATAGACGAGACATTTTCATTATGAAAACCGCGTTAAATTGCGCGTGATCGTACGTTAAACGCGTCTCGGATCGATTTTACGTCAACCCGCAGGTATTCCCGGCTGCTTCAGAAAAGGTGCAACGCATATCTTCCGACTGGTCGTCCGTGAATGCCACGATACTAATGATTCAAGGCCACTATTGACAATCCACGACCTATTATTATTTTCAAATACGACGTCGAGCTACGAACAACCTTGCTTAGTTCTTCTCGTTTCCTTTCAATTTTAACGTCGATTGTTAGCTAAAAAAAGAAAAAAAAGGAGTAAACTAAAGAACGTATCTTCTAACTCGACGAAGAATGAAATTGAAATTGGAATTGAAATTGGAAATTCATATAGAGAATCGTTTCATGAGACAAACGAACATTACGAATAGCTTATCGAATTTTTATCGGGTACTTAATTCCGACGTTATCGTACGATGCTATTGTCGACCATTCTTCTTTCTCTTCGTATATATACATACATTGTCAACAATCGTGGTTCCAATAAATTGAGAATACGTGTAATAATGGAATTTAAAGTAATGCCATCTAAATGGAAATGTTTAAATATTTTCTAGAACGCAGAAAACCTGCTTTCGAGAGTGTTATTTTTAATATTATACAAATGTGTTACCTCGTAAAAAGAATGATCTAAGATATACTTGCCATGAATCTGTATAATATAGCATAGAAATATTTGGTGTTCTTATGCAAAATAGCATTCAGAAATGTCTGTGCTTTTGGTAGCTTCAAAGTGATTAGATGAATAACTACGTTATATTGGATGAAAGACACCCTCATAAAGGTATAATACTGACGTTCAGAAGCGGCAGAATGATTCAGGGCATTTTACCGATGCGGGCCATTGAGGAAACTTCGAACACGTGTACCAAAGGACTGGCAGTGGAACCGTGCATGGGTGGGGATAAGCATCGCGCGTCGTGCACGAACCAATGCACTAGCAGCTAACACCCAGTTAGATAGTCACTATGCTTTTACCGCGCTGCTCGACAAAGTCCAGTAAATAACTTCGCGATACGCTGAACTTTTAGAGTGTAGCATGGCCTCCAAATTTGTATCTATAAACTCTTTTCGTTTTACAAATTCTTTACATATGACAGATATTGTAATAAATATGAGATTTAAATCTTCTATCTAACTTATATATTGGATACTACAAATAGGATATTATACTACCGCCAAGTACTATGCTACTGCTACCATTTTGTGTGTCTGTTACATTTGGACAATAAACGATACTTAATCAGTATTTAATCTGATCCTAGAAACGTAAGATTGATTTGTAACATATGTAAAGTTTGTAGGTAACGAAAGCAAGGACCATTGCACGTACGAACCAATAATATTGAAGCTTAAGGTAAAAATAATTGTAAGGAACAAGAAGTTACTTACCATTGAGACCATATTTTTCCTGGTTCCTCTTAACTTGGTCAAGAGATAATCCTTTGTCAGAATCGACATTAAAGAAATTTACCACCTCGTCCACTGTTTTACAATGACCGTCCTCCATGGTTACTTCTGTATTAGTCACTAATTTTATCTGTTCAGTGACTGTCCACGTTCATTCACACTGCAATTTTCTGTAATTCAAACAGACAAACAATTATAGATTATTTGTTCTTTCAAATAAATATTCATTTTCTTTGCAAACATGCACAAATAAACTGATCTGCTCATCGCATAAATATCAACTGCAAATAACAAGTGTAACCAATTATTGAAAACAGCAGAAATTATTAAATAACCAGACAGATAACAAAATGATTCTATAAAGACAGACGTTTCGATGCACTTTAATTTCAATTGTTTTCAAAGCTGAAATATAACCAATGAGAGCTATACTCCTTCAGATAAATCCTAAACACTTCGTAAGGCCGTAAAAATACATAGTTTGCAGAAACTTGTCGAAATAAAGATTCCCAGAGAGCGGAGCTTAGATAAAGGCGATGAGGAAAAGTCACCGCGTGCTCGCAATTACGAGCCAAACCGTTTCAGGTTAAACCTTTGTCGTGGAACGAAACTTTTCAAGGTGTACGCACCGTGATTTCCCCTGATCGTTCGACGCGAAACGTACAAAGTTCGATAACAAAACAGAAGTAAACTCACCAGTGACCAGTACGAAGTATTCGTTGGCGACGTGTCACAGAGAAATTACGTTACGGCTGTCGAATATTTAGGTTAGCTACAGGTCCCTAAGATGCACTCAAGCACACAGCGAGAGAGAGAGAGAGAGAGAAAGAGAATGAGAGGGAGGGAAGGAATGAGAGAGAAAGACGAAGAAGAGAAAAAAAATGAAACGAACTGGCACGAACAAACTTGCCGGGCACTGAAATGAAAAGTTCTACGGCCGATTAACGACGTATCACGATACGCGGGCACAGAAATTTAAGACGCTCGTCATTTTCTTCACGATATATTTCCCCTAAATGCTAAGCAAACCTCCTCTTCCGTGAGACTGACACGGCGAACGACAAATCATTGCACACGTGCGCCACCTCGCGGAATGCGCCATTAACAAGTTGCAGCGTAGTTGCCCGCGCGCCGTCTACAATGCAAACGTAATTATAAACATAAATATCCAGTTAATCGAGATTCATTAACGCGTTACGATTACTCCATATGAATAGCCCTTCACTTTTCAAACTATGGAATTTCTATGAAGACGAGTCGTTCGTTCACTTTTGTATTTCGCGAAATCCACGTCACAGCGCGGCGCACCGTATAGTATGAAAATGCGTGCGAGTCGAATGAACCGAGCATGTGGAGCGACGCCATTGGCTGGACAGCGTTCGTCAAGTATGACGCACTCAGCTATTTTCAGGCTTCTGCTAGTCTATTTCCTTGGCGCGTATTTTAAGACATTCAAAGGACATGGCTAATATTCTCGTTATATAACTATTGCTCTTATAATTTCATTTCGATCGCTACGGTCGATGATTCGCGACGGAGCGTTGATTTTCGCGCCATTCGACAATTTTCGTTCGATTAAATACGGCGGCCAGGTAATCGAATCGACACCGAATGATTGTTAGGTGGTTTCGTTATATAACTAAGTAACCGGCTGTCTGTAGATTGTATAAAATTTTTGAAACTCGTTACATAACCTAACGAAAGATGACTCGACAATATAGAGTTGTTTTGCATCCGAATCTTTCTTGCATTTAATCGATCACGAATAAAAGATCGATATTTTATCGCTCGCTGAGTCAACTTTGTTCAGTTTGTCGTTCGTCTTGCCAAATGAGATGATGTTATGTAATATATCAGTACCGAAATGTACAATATGCAACGTTCACGCGCGTGCCTAAAATTGGGCCTGTAACTTTTCATTGTTACAGTAACAGTAATTCATCGGACCGTAGCAGCGGTAGTCGTTAAACTGAACCGAGTACATCGAATCATTTCAAACATCATAAACCAGTAAGCTTTCACGACGTAGAAGCTGCAACTACTACTAATGTATGGTTTTATTACTAATTCAAATAAATACTTGAAAGAAAAAAAGAGAAAACACTTATATCAACCAATTTGCTCAACGATAATCCGCAACTTCCAGTCAATTTTCTTTCACGTTCCTCGACTATATATGCATTTGAATACACATATTCATACATAATGTATACATATGTAGATTCAAATATCAACAAAAAGAAGAAAAAGAGCAAAACAATTTCAAGAAACAATTCTGTTTGTTTGCGATTATTAAAACGTCACGTTAATAGGAAAAAGTACACGCGAAGCTAGTATCGACGACGAGTTTCCAAAAGTCATTGGATCGTCGCACGCTCAAGGTCAACGTCGCGGCGACTTAAAACTCGGATGGAGTGCAAAGGTCGCACAGCCAGTGTAGCAAACGCCGAAGCCAAGGTTAGCGCTAAACTTAAGTGTGAATGGAAGAGCGGTGACTAGCCGGGAGACTCGATCGGGGTTACGGCCGTTGGAATCAGTCACCGGGCAGACTCCGCGTCTCCGGAACTCGACCTGTAATCCTATTCACCCGAACGAGTTCCACAACCGAAAGCCCTGATCTTACGCGATAAGAAAAAAAAAAAATTCCAACGAGTCCTCGACGTCGGATTTCAACTCCTTTCCTCCTTTCCTCCTTTCTCTCTCTCTCTCTCTCTCTCTCTCTTACTGTTTCGATTAAAAAATCTACAATTCGAACGTACGAAGAGATTCAAGGAATTCTGTCAAGCAATCCTTTTGACGCTGATGAGTTCGATCGTCCTGTGGCTACAAGAAACCTGAACAAGCAACGATCATGGTCAAAAGTCGCTATTGAAAACTTGAAAGAAAGTCGCGCGCCAAAATGAACGGACGAAGAGGTTGGTCGGTTGGTCGAACAGGACTGCGGAACACTTGGGAACCGGTCCGAAACACCGTCCGGACGATCAGCTCGCTCGAACGCCCGGGACGCGACTAACCGGCCAAATCGCGCGCGCCCCAGCGGACCATTTTAGCACGTCTCTGACGACGACTTCCTAATTATTTTGGCAGAGATGGCCAGCAGCCACTGATTTCCCTACCCCTCCCATCCTTAGCCGCTACGTTCGTCTCTATCTCACCAGGTACCCCTGTCCCTGTTCTACGCACCGAATCCCTCTTCTTGTCCACCAAATTCTATCCCCGTTCTTATTTTCTTTCTCCTGTTTCCTTCCGTTTTCTCCTCGCCTCTGTCAATAATGATTTTCTGCCTAATTTTCTGCGATACGCTAACTGCACTACTTTCAAATACTTTTGATTTTGCGAAGAGACTGGCTTAATTGCGGTTTCTTAACCCTTGGATCAATGGAACTGTTATTGGATTAATTTGTTCTGATTCTAGCAGTTACGAAGATGTACGTAAGGATGCAGCAAACAGGATGAATCATTTGAATTAAAACAGGCTTATATGTTAATAGCATAATTGTGTTAGGTAATAGATTGACGATGATATAATATCGGGGATGGTTGGCGGCGTGGCAGAACAGTTTCTATTTGAAGATGAGATGCAACACGGTGGACGAGCTATAAAGATAGGAAATGTAGTACGTTTGTTGGCAAACAAGTAGAGGTCGTGTTTGTATGTAACGTGAGCTCCACATCGACACGTCTTCGATGAAGTAACATAGGCTATGTTAGTTTGGCTGGCTACTTAGGCTAGTGATACACTTTCGAGTAAGAAACATTCGCTGGACGCCGATTTGATATACGTCACTAAATATCTATGACAACATGAAATCGAGCGTATAACATGACGAACGATCGCCTTTCGAAACTTTTGGTATCTTCACCCGCGCAGAAATTGCTCCTAAATTTATCCCTCTCGTACGATTCTATCTATGAGTACTGACTTATCAAATTCTTCGCGCGGTCCTAATCCTCGAGCGTATTCCATCGAATTTTCCACAATTTCGAAATAGATTTTACCGGAACGAAATCCCCCCGAATTTCCAAGTTCGAGTCGAGGACCCTTTCGAGATTTTTGTCACTGTACACCGAACGGAGCATATCGAGTACGTGGATTCGACCAAACACACATATTTCTTTCGAGAAGCATCGGACATCGACGAAAAACAGCGTACGATCTTTCACGCTGTTCGTTAAGAGATCCACAATAGAACGATTCACGGCCTCCCTCGGCTAAGTCCCTTTCGGCTTTTTTCGGTCACACAACACTGATCTCGTCCGATCGTCGTTTTCTTTTCTACCGATTCAGTCGATTTTCGTATCACACTGTGTACATGTCACAAAAACACTATAGGTATCTGGGAAACCTCCTGTGTTCACCTGTTGGTTGTACTCGCGCGGCAAGCAGACTTACCAATGCTTCGTCTTCTTGTGCTTGGCTCCGGGCTGTTGTTTCCTCACCGAATCGATTTCTCGAAGGAAACCGGCACCGGTGCGGCTGGGTCCCGGTCGCACTTTGCGATTCTACGATCGGCCGCGCGTTTCTCTCGCGTTGTACGACGGACAATGCGTAGAAGAGTACCGTGGAAACAGGTAAAGTAAGCGAAAGAGAAGGCGGCGAGTGTGTCACACTGCGACGAACTTTTGCGAGGCCTGTCTCTGCTCGTTGATGCGACGATCCCGATTACAGACTCGCTACTCCTCCCTGAACATCGTACCGTGAGAACGCGCGCTTTCCTCTGGTTCCTCTGCTTTCCTCTTTACATGAAGGGTGGTCGAGGACGAAAACAAACAAACATTCAAAGGGCAACGCCTGCGCTGCTCAACGAAACGAAGCGACGAACCTCGCCGAAATTCCTTTAAATAGTCCGTAGGCGTCGCTACCTGGCGGCCAGACACCGAACGAGGGAAAACTCTGGCCGGAAG